GCTTGGAATAATTTATGCCAGACAACAAGGAAGTGCTGAAAGAATGATATGGTTTTTATCATAAGGACATAGAAGACAGAGAGGCTCTCACTAGTTAAATCTGAGACAATTTGAGATTAATATTTAAAAATGATCTCCTAATGTGACCTGCAAATTTAACACAATTACTATCAAAATCCAGCAGGATTTTGCTTTGTTTTTCTGCAAAAATTGACAAGCTGATCCTAAAATTTATATGGAAATGCAAAGAAGCCAGGATAGCCAAAACAATCTGCAAAAAGAACAAAACTGGAGGACCCACACTTCCCAATCTAAAACTTAGTATAAGGGAGTGATTGGCAAACTTTTCTGTAAAGGGCTAGACAGTAAGTATGTTAGGCTTTGTGGATTTTAACTCTGTCACAACTATCAACTCCATTTTTAGTATATTCAGTGTTGTGCAATCATCCCCACAATCTAATTTTAGAACATTTTGTCACCCCTTAAAAAACCTTGTACCTATTAGCAGTCACTCTTCATTTCCTCATGCCACCTTCCCAGCCATAGACAACCACCAATCTGTATTCCGTCTACAGATTTGCCTGTTTGGGACATTTCAAATAAATGGAATCACACAATATATGACTGGCTTCTTTCACTTAGCATTATGTCTTCAAGGTTAATCTATGTTGTAGCATTTGTCAGCATTTCATTCCTTTTTATAGCTGAATTATATAGTACATTGTATGGACATACCATAATTGTTTAATCCACTCATCAGCTGATGGATATCTGGGTTGTTTACATTTTGGGGCTATTATGAATAGTGCTGTTAGGAACCAAGTACAAGTTTTTGTGTAGACATATGTTTTCATTTCTTTTAGGTATATACCTAGGAGTGGAATTGCTGGGTCATACTGTAGCTCTGTGTTTAACTTTTGAGTAAACTGTTTTTCAAAGTGGCTGTACCATTTTAACTTCCCCCAACAGTGTTGAAGGGTTCCAATTTCTCCACATGTTAAACAACACTCGTTATTATCTTTTTTATTATAGCCATCCCAGTGGGTGTGAAGTGCTATCTCACTGTGGTTTTGATTTACATCTCAATGACTAATGATGTTGAGCATCTTTTCATGGGCTTATTGCCATTTGTATGTATTTGGAGAAATATCTATCTCATCCTTTTCCATTTTTAATGGCTAATTTAATTTTTTATTATTGAGTTTAAGAGTTCTTTTTACAGTCTGATACATGTTCCTTGTCAGATATATAATTTGCAAATGTTTTCTCCCATATGTGGGCTCCCTTTCTTCATGGTGTCCTTTAAAGTACAAAAGTTTTTGATTTTGATGAAGTCCAATTCACCTGCTTTTTCTTTTGTTACTTGTGCTTTTGGTATCATATCTAAGAAACCATTGTCACATCCATAGTCATGAAGATTTACCCTTATGTTTTCTTCTAAGAGTTTTACAGTTTTTGTTCTTTTGAGTTGATTTTGTGAGGAGGTAGACCAGATTCATTCTTTTGCATGTAGATATGTGATTGTCCCATTATCAACTGCCAGAGTTAACAGTTTATATCCTTTTTTTTTGTTGGTCTAGTTAACAAGGTTTTGTGATTTTTTTTCATCAAAATTGTTAAAGCTAAATTTAGTCAAGCTAAGTTTCAACATGATATCATAAATTTCCCACCAATCATACAAAATATCCCCTTGGGTCAGTTCTAAATTAGGCTCATGCAACAAAACGCACATTTCATTTGAAAGCTTTTGTGTAGGTGTGCCCAAGCTGTCAAATCCAATTTAATAGGACCAAATGCCTAATAGTTGAAGACTTAGTTTCTCATCAGGCTGTCTCTAGAGAGGTTCCAAGCAAATAAAATAGTGAAATCCCATGAAACCTTTTTTCTTTATTTTATACCAGCCAAGGAAGATCGGTACTAAGTAATTTGGAATAGTGTCAAGGGGGATTCAATTCATTACCGCACTAATTCTGAGGGGGGGCAGGGAGGAGTGGTACCTTGACCTCTGACAATGAACAACAGGGTCTTTGGTTGATAGGAGGGTGGGAGGTAGTTCTGACGTAGGTGACTATGGGAAAGGTGTAGAGGGAAGATGGACTTATAAAGGCATGCTGGGATGGATGGGTGGCTGAGAGAGGGCTCAGATCCCTGGCTGAAGATATATGAAGATGTTGTTAAGAAAAATTACTTGGGAAAAGGGCAAAAAGATAGTTGACATGTACTTTCAATGTCACTAGGGAATTAAGGGGGATGATGGTTTCATCCAAGAGTTATTCAATTACCTATCTTAAACGAATGTGCCTTTGTTATTTACTATCAATTACTCTAAAGTTATATGCTAAATATTATCCAGTGGAAAAGATAATCCCAAAGGTTACAGTTTGATTGCTCTGCTTGACACGAACCATTTTTACATCTTACCCAACATTTTATTTTATTTTAAATATTTTATTTATTTATTTGAGAGAGAGAGACACAGCGAGAGAGAGAGAGCACAAGCAGGGGGAGTGGCAGGCAGAGGGAGAAGCAGACTCCCCGCTGAGCAGGGAGACCGATGCGGGGCTGGATCCCAGGACCCTGGGATCATGACCTGAGCCAAAGGCAGTTGCTTAACTGACTGAGCCACCCAGGCATCCTGCTGTTTTCAGGTTTTTGAAATCCTTTGCCAGGATTCAGCTGTGATGACCAAGAGTTGTTAAGTGTCCTCTGAGGAAAAAAAAAATCAGCCCTCACTGCAACAAGGAGCTCAACTCTAAATTGCCAATGGAGTCCTCATTCTTCATGGATTTGTAAAAAATTAAATGAAAAAGCTGTGAAAAACATATTCCAAGGGAGTGGGAGGCTCTTTCCCAATGGCTGTAATGTTACATCATAGTACAAACCCTAGTGGGCCAGACATGCCAGGTAAGCCAGACATTCTCACATGAGCATGTGTTTAAGAATGATTTTAGGCAATACTGCATCTCAGCCCCTGCCTGGGCTACCTGCTGCCCCACTGTTGAAAGTCCATGTTAAGACATTCAGATGCTCCTAACTTAGCACATAAAGCTGACTACTGCTTTGGTTCTCTGTAGGAAATGAGAGAACAACCCTCTTGGCTTCAAGTATGGTCTAAAATTATTAACAAACTCACTGGGGCTAACGTTCACTGCCTGGAAATGTTAACTGTTTACAAGTGTTTCCTGGTTAGTTTGAGAGCTTCCCAAAGGCAGAGATGATCTCATTTATCTCCATATCCTCTATTTCTACCCACAGGAGTTGGCAGATAGAAAGCATTCAATAGATTGCTGTGAGAGAACACTTTTTTGGAAAAGTTCTACTGGCAGGTACTATACCTGGCAAACCAAAAAATAAAAATAAAAGATGTTCACAGAGAGAAGTAGAAATCTACTAATTTATTGCTCCAAGCTTGGGATTAATTTTGATTTGCTTGGGTTTCTCATGGTAGGGGCGAAATAGCTTGGATTAGATAAAACAAACAAACAAAAAAGGTAAAATTTGTGTAACTCAATAAAAATTACTTTTTCAGTAAGATCTGAGCACGATTTATCAGACAGACCAATTTCTCAATTAAAAAAAAAGTGTAGGACATTACTGTACTTCCTTGGAGTATACATATCATTTTTCTTTCTGAGACACAAATAGTTGTGAGTACTATATAGGGAGGCAGAAATTAGAGTATCAGAGGGATAAAAAGACACAAAATTGTTTCTACAGTATGAGGCACTTGGTTGAATTATGTTCAGTCATATGCTAGGGTTACATGATGTGAACTAAACAGACCAAAGCTGTGCATATTACAATAGTGTTCAAAGGTAGCATTTATAAATACTAAACATATCTCTAATTTCAAAAACAGTTCACATTTATTTGGAATGGACAACAGTACATTTATAGTTTGGTCCAGAGCTGTCTTAACTCTCTTGACTTCTGTCAAATTATAAAATGGAGAGATCTAAACAATCTGGACATCTGTCAGAATATCACATTGGTCCACCATATTGATGACATCATGCTAATTGAACAAAATAGCCAATAAATGGATAGCACTGGAAAGTCCTTGGTGAGACTCATGTGCTACAATGGCTGGGAGATGAATCTTATGAAGATTCAGGGATCCATCACATTCAGTAAAATTTTTAGGAGTCTAGTAGTCTGGGATATCAGCTCCAGAATGAAAGACAAATTATTGCATCCTGTACCTCCTATCACCAAGAAGAAAGCACAATATATCCTTGCCAATATTTGGTATGGTCAGTCTCTTTAACTTTAGCTATTCTAATAGTTGTGTAGTAGTTTCTTGTACCATTTTTAATTTGCATAATTAATTTGCATGATGTTGAACATTTTTCATGTTCTTACTTACCATCTGGATATCTTCTTTGATGAAGTGCCTGTTCAAATCTTTTAATGATTAAAATTGTGTTGTTTTCTTACTGTTGATTTTTGAGAGTTCTTTACATATTCTGGATTCAAGTCTATCATATATACGCCTTACAAAGATTTTCTCCTAGTTTATGCTTTGTCTTTCCATTTCCTTATTTTTTAAAGATTTTATTTATTTGACAGAGAGAGACACAGCAAGAGAGGGAACGCAAGCAGAGGGAGTAGGAGAGGGAGAAGCAGGCTTCCCGCCGAGCAGGGAGCCCGATGCGGGGCTAGATCCCAGGACCCTGGAATCATGACCTGAGCCGAAGGCAGACGCTTAACCGACTGAGCCACCCAGGCACCCCGATTTCCTTATTTTTTAAAGATTTATTTATTTGTGGGGCGCCTGGGTGGCTCAGTCGTTAAGCGTCTGTCTTCGGCTGAAGTCATGATCCCAGGGTCCTGGGATCGAGCCCCGCATCGGGCTCCCTGCTCGGCGGGAGGCCTGCTTCTCCCTCTCCCACTCCCCCTGCTTATGTTCCCTCTCTCACTGTCTTTCTCTCTGTCAAGTAAATAAATAAAATCTTAAAAAAAAAATAAAGATTTATTTGAGAGAGAGAGAAAGAGAGAGCATGAGGGGGGCAGGGGGAGGAACAGAGGGAGAGGGAGAAGCAGACTCCCCGCTGAGCAGGGAGCCTGATGTGGGGCTCAATCCCAGTACCCTGAAATCACGACCTGAGCTGAAGGCAGACGCTTAACCAACTGAGCCACCCAGGCGTCCCTGGGTTGTGCTTTTATTGCCTAAGTGAAGGTCACAAGGGTTTCTTCCATTTTCTTTTAAAAGTTTTATAATTAAGCTTTCACATTTAGGTCTATGATTCACTTAGAGTTAATTGCTGTATGTGGTGTGAGATACGGATCCAAGCTTGTTTATTTTTTTGCATAGGGAAGCCCAGTTGTTCAAGTACCACTTGTTGAAAAGTGTACCCTCTCTCCACTAAATTGCCTTTATGCCTTCGTTAAAAATAGTTGTCCATACATGTGTAGGTTTGTTTTGGGACTCTCTTCTATTTCTTTGATATATATGTTCCTAGCTTTATGTTAAAACCAAACTGTTTTGATGACTGTACCTTTATAATAACTATTGTGATTACATAGTATTAGCCTTCCAACATTGTTTTTTTCTTTTTCTGAGTTATTTTGGCTGTTCTGTTTCTTTGAATTTCCATGTGAATTTTAGAATCAGTAAGTCAACGTTTTCAAAAAAGCTTGCTGGGATTTTGATTGGTATTGCACTGAATCTATAGATAAGTTTGGGGAGAATTGACACCTTAACAATATTGAGTCTTTTAACCATAAAGGAGGTCCATCTTTCCATTTATAAGGTTTTAATTTTTCTCAGCAGTATTTCATAGTTTTCAGTATACAGATCTTTCATATCCTTTGTAAGTTTATCCCTAAGTAGTTCCTATTATTAATGATATTGTTTTTTTAAATTTCAATATTCAATTGTTCATTGCTAGTATATAAAAATACAATTGACTTTTTTTCCTGTGGCTTCTTCTATAAAAAGATTTATTACAATATAATTCATACACAAAAATCACCCATTTAAAGAATGTAATTCAATGGACTTTAGTATATCCACAGACCATCGCAATCTGAGAACACTTATTTGTCACCCCCCAAAAGCCTCATGTCTATTACCAGTCACTCCCCATTTCTTCACTCCACCTCTGTCAGCCATAGGCAACCACTACTCTATGTTCTGTCTCTAAGGATTTGCCTATTTGCACATTTCACATGAATATGATCATATAATATGTAATCTTCTGCGGTGGGATTCCCTCACTTAAAACAATGATTTTAAGGTTCATCTATGTTGTGGCATATTATCAGATTCATTCTTTTTAAATTCCAAATACTATTCCCATTGTATGGATATCACATATTTTGTTTATCCGGTCATCAATTAATGTACTTATTTTAGATGTTTCTAGCTTTAGTTATTATAAGTAATGCTTCTATGAATATTCATGTGCAAGTTTTGTGTAGATGCATGTTTTTAATACTCAGGTGGAATTGCTGGGTAATATATTAACTCTATGTTTAATATTTTGAGGAACTGCCCAGACTATTTTCCAAAGTGGCTTCACAATTTTACAGTCCTCCTGGCAATGTATGAGAGTTCCAATTTCTCCACATCCTTGTCAACACTTATTGTAGTCTGCCTTTTTAATTCTAGCCATCCTAGCAGATGTAAATCAGTTATTTCATTATTGCATTTCCCTAATGACTAATGATGTTGAGCATTTTCTTCATATGCCTATTAGGGATTTGTATATCTTCTTTGGGGAAATGTCTACTCAGATCCTTTGCCCATTTTATTTTTAATAATTAATTAATTAATTAATTAATTTTTGCACAGAAGAGATTACTCGGAAGTTTATTTAGTTTCCAGGGGCGCCTGGCTGGCTCAGTCAGTGGAGCATATCACTCTTGATCTTGTCATCGTGAGTTCAAGTCCCATGTTGGGTGTGGTGATTGCTTAAAAATAAAATCTTTAAAAAAAGTTTATTTAGTTTCTAAAATTAATATTTGATACATTACAGTTACAAAGTTAAAACCATGGTTCTTCCTGTGCTTTTAAATTCTGCATATAAATTTTATTATTCTCTTAGCAATTTTTTTATTTTTATTTTTTATTTATTTATTTATTTTTAAAGATTTTATTTATTTATTTGAGACAGAGAGAATGAGAAAGAGAGAGCACATGAGAGGGAGGAGGGTCAGAGGCAGAAGCAGGCTCCCCGCCGAGCAGGGAGCCCGATGCGGGACTCGATCCAGGGACTCCAGGATCATGACCTGAGCCGAAGGCAGTCGCTTAACCAACTGAGCCACCCAGGCGCCCAATTTTTTTATTGATGTATAAGTGACACACAATGTTACATGAGTTTCAGGTATGCAACACAGCAATTTGACAACTCTGTATGTTATGTTATGCTCACCACAAATGTAGCTACCATCTGTCACCATACAACTTCTTTGCACATTTTTAAAAACTGGGTTACTGATCTTTTTCTTCTTCTTATAAATTTACTCTCCTAATCTGTCTTTTAATTACTATATTTAGAGAATTTATATTTAATGTAATCACTGAAATGCTGGAGCTTAAATCTGCCATTTTCTTTTTTGCTTATTCGTTCTCTTTTCCATTTCTCTTTTTCTTTTTCTTGCCTTTCTGTGAGTTAATTGATTTTTTTTAAGAATTCCATTTTGGTGGGGCACCTGGGTGGCTCAGTTGGTTAAGGTCTGTCTTCAGCTCAGGTCATGATCCCAGGGTCCTGGGATCATGTCCGGCATTGGGCTCCTTGCTCAGCGGGGAGCCTGCTTCTCCCTCTGCCTCTGACTGCCACTCTGCCTACTTGTGCTCTTTCTGTCTCTCTGATAAATAAATAAATACGATCTTAAAAAAATTTTTTTTAAAAGCATTCGACTCTTGATCTCAGCTCAGGTCTTGATCTCAGGGTTGTGAGTTCAAGCCCTGCATTAAAAAATAAATAAATAAAAAAGAATTCCATTTTGATTTAACTATAGTGTTTTTGGTGTCTCTTCGTGTAGATTTTTTTGGTAGTTGCTCTAGATATTGCATTATACATACATTATTTATCACAGTCTACTGGTTTTAATATTTTACTAGTTCAAATGAAGTATAAAAACCTTACCTCCCTTTAAGTCATTTTACCCTCCCCTATTTATAATTGTCTTAAATGTTTCTCCCATATACACTGAGAACCACATCAGACAATGTTATATTTTTTGCTTCAACTGTCAAACATAATTTTATTTATTTTTTTATTTTTTTTAAAAAGATTTTATTTATTTATTTGAGAGAGAATGAGAGAGAGAGAGAGAGCATGAGAGGGGGGAGGGTCAGAGGGAGAAGCAGGCTCCTCGCTGAGCAGGGAGCCCGATGCGGGACTCGATCCAGGGACTCCAGGATCATGACCTGAGCCAAAGGCAGTCGCTTAACCAACTGAGCCACCCAGGCGCCCAAACATAATTTTAAAAACTTGAGAGAAGGAAGGTATTTGCCAACATTTCCACAATTGCAATTGTGCTTTAATTCTTCTTGATATTCTGTTTCATCTTTTACCATCTTCCTTATATTTTAAGAACATTCTTTAGCAATTTTTAGAGTAGGTTTAGCGGTGACAAATTCTTTTTATTTTTTTTTAAAGATTTTATTTATTCATTTGAGACACAGGGATACAGAGAGAGAGAGAGCATGAGGAGGGAGAGAGGCAGAGGGAGAGGGAGAAGCAGGCTCCCCGCTGAGCAGGGAGCCTAATGTGGGGCTCGATCCCAGGACGCTGGGATCATGACCTGAGCCGAAGGCAGACGCGTAACCATCTGAGCCACCCAGGCGCCCCATTGTGGTGACAAATTCTTAATTCTTCTAAGTTTTCTGTAGCTTCCCTTCATTCTTGAAGGATGATTTCACTAGATGTAGAATTTGGGGTTGACAGTTCTTTTCCTTGAGTACTTGGAAAATAGGCCACTTTCTTTTGACCTCCATGGTTTCTCATGAGAAATCTGATGTCATTCAAAAAAAAAGTTCCCCTATATAAGTATTATTTCTCTGTCAATGCTTTCAAGATATTTTGTCTTTAGTTTTAAGAAGTTTATTTATTTTTAAAAAGATTTTATTTATTTGGGGGAGAGAGAGCGCGAGTGAGCATGAGTGGGGGGAGGGGCAAAGGGAGAGGGAGAAACAGACTCCCCGCTGAGCAGGGAACCTGATTTGGGGCTCAATCCCAGGACCCCGGGATCACAACCTGAGCCGAAGGCAGATGCTTAACTGACTGAGCCACCCAGGCACCTCAGATTTAAGAAGTTTAAGTATGATGTATGTACCTTGGGGTGATATCTTTGGATCTGACCTGTTGATGATTTGTCCAGCTTCTTGAAGCCAAAGGTTTATGTATTTTGACAAATTTGGAAAATTTCAGTCATCATTTCTTTGAATACTTTTTCTGCCCCACCCTCTTTTTCTTCTTTTGGGACTCTGATTTCACAAATGTTTATCTTTTGTTATAGTTCCACTGGTTCCTGAGGACCAGTTCATTTTTTTTTTTTTCCAGTTTATTTTCTCTTTGTGGTTTAGATTGGGTAGCTTTGTCTTATCTTCAAGTTCCTTTCCTCTGTCTTCTCCATTCAGATGTTGAGCTCACCCACTGAACTGAACATTTCCATTTAGTTCTACTTTATATTCTATTTCTTTGCTGAGACTTTTTTTTTTTTTTAAGATTTTATTTGTTTATTTGACAGAGAGAGACACAGCAAGAGAGGGAACACAAGCAGGGGGAGTGGGAGAGGGAGAAGCAGGCTTCCCGTGGAGTAGGGAGCCTGGTGCAGGGCTCGATCCCAGGACCCTGTGATCATGACCTGAGCTGAAGGCAGACTGAGCCTTACCAACTGAGCCACCCAGGTGCCCCTGAGACTTTTTTTTTTTTTTTTTTTTAAGATTTTACTTACTTATTTGAGAGAGAGAGAGCACAAAGCAGGGGCAGTAGCAGAGGGAGAGGGAGATGCAGGCTTCCTGCCGAGCAGGGAGCCCGATGTGGGGCTCAATCCCAGGACTCTGGGATCATGACTTGAGCCGAAGGCAGCCGCTCAACTAACTGAGCCACCCAGGTGCCCCTCTTTGCTGAGACTTTTCAAATGTATTTGTTTCAAATGGGTTCATAAATGTTTGATGAAGCAGTTTTATGATGGTTGTTTTAAAATCCTTGTCAGATAATGCAGACATCTGATTCATTTTGGTGTCAGTATTTTTAAAATTATATTTTGTCATTCAAGTTGAAATTTTCCGGTTCTTGGTATGATGAGTGACTTTTTTTTTTTTTTTTAATTGTATCCTGGACAGGGGCGCCTGGGTGGCCAAGTCAGTTAAGTGTCTGACTCTTGATTTCAGCTCAGGTCATGATCTTGGGGTCCTGAGATCAAAGCGCCGCATCAGGCTCCATGCTCAGTGCAGAGTCTGCTTGTCCTTCTTCCTCCCCCTGCTTGCTTTCGTGCTCTCTCTCTCAAATAAATAAAATCCTTAAAAAAATAAATTGTATCCTGGACATTTAGAGACAGGAGATTCTGGATCTTATATAAATCTATTTTAGCAGGTTCTTTCTGACACCATCCTAGAGAGGAATGGGGTACCCACCTCCTTTCTGCCAGATGAGGGTGAAATTCTGGACTTCCCATTTGACCTTCTTGGCATCTCAGAGGGAAGTGATACCTTGGTGCCTTGTTCCTTTGTATGGAAATTGGATATCTTGCCTCCCACTATGCCTGACACCATCTTGGTTGGGAAGGTGGGGGTGACTTGTTAGGTCCTGCAATATTGTAATAGGGGAGGCCTCATTATTGCTGGGTGTTGGTGAAAGTTCCATCTTCACACTCAGCCTCCTCTGATACTGAAGGGTAAAGGGAAGGGTACCTTTAAACAGTTGGTGGGGAGAAGTCCAGAATCCCCATGTAGCCTCCATTGATAATATAAAGGGGCCTCAATACTACCAAGCAGGGATGAAAAATCCCAAGTTCCCACTCAGTCTTCTCTGATACCACCCACATTACAGCTGGGAGAGAGCGGAACTCTAGGCTCCCCATTCCCAAGGTATTGCTGACAGGAGTAAAGAGAGACCATGGCTTTGTTCCATGTTTGGTAGGGTAGGGAAGTATTGTCTATTTCTCTCTTGGTAGGTTGCACATTTCTTGGGCCATTAGCTAGAGACAGCTTGGGGAGCATTTTTATGTATTCCTATTGGCCTTTCTCAGTTGCCAGCTACTCTAGCACCCAGTCTGGGTATAGGAGACAAAAAGAGAAAACCCAGGTATCTCATCACTGTGTCATTTTGTGATCCCAAGGTCCCAAGCCAGTAAGATTCCAGAGTCATTTTGGTTTATGTATAATGTGCAGGGTTTTTTGTTTGTTTATTTATTTTTTTTAGCTACTGTTTGTAGAGGAATAGGATGTGTGTTTAGTCCCTCTTTACCCAGAATCAGAAGTCAATGTTGTCTTTCTGTCTAGGTACAACATATATTTCCCTGTTTCTTAAAACTTTACTTTTCAAGTTTTCTTAATATAGGGTGCACTTATTTCTCATTGTTTATAACTTTTGTTGCCATTATGGATGGGATTCTCTTTTTCTTTCTTACATTTTAAAATTGGCTAATACTGTTAATTTTTGTGAAGAAAAGAGTTAATACAGTTAATACTCTTGTGAAGACAAGAGTTAATGGTTGCCTGTCTTTGGGAACCCTAGAACCCTGTTAGCCCTTGGCCAACCCCTGAGAATATGGCCTTCAGAATGCTCTTTATGTTTCTGATAACATTCTGTATGCCCAGGGCAATGGATGATGCTGTACCAGTTTATTAGGATTGTTTTGCACAAGGATCACAATTGATGATGTGCTTCATTTTGCTGTTGGGGTCCTGAGTTTCAGTTACCATGGATGGTCATGTAGCCAGAACAGTTGCCTACATGCCCCCAACCTTTGATAAAAGCTTCAAACCCTTGGACCAGAGTGAACTTCTTTTGGCAGACATTTAACATTGTCCTTCCAGTTTGCTGCTAGAAAGAGTGTATCTTGTGTGGTCCCAGGAGGGGAATGACTTGGAAGCCTATGTGTGATTTCTCTGGACTTCACCCAATGTATATTTTTGTTCTGTTGCTCTTACTCTGTATCTTTTGCTGTAATAAGCCTTGGCTGCGAGTATAAATGGCTAGTAAGTCTTTTTTTTTTTTTAATTAATTTTATTTTTTTATAGATTTATTTATTTGACAGAGAGAGACACAGTGAGAGAGGGAACACAAGCAGGGGGGAGTGGGAGAAGCAGGTTTCCCATGGAGCAGGGAGACTGATGTGGGGCTCGATCCTGGGACCCTGGGATCATGACCTGAGCTGAAGGCAGACGCTTAACGACTGAGCCACTCAGGCGCCCCAAACCTGCTAGTAAGTCTTGTGAATCATTTTAGTAAACCACCTAACTTGAGAATGATCATGGGACTCCTAAACCTTAAAAAATTAGGCTAATTTCATATCCAACCACATTGATAGTAAATTTTTATGAGAGCTACTAGTTTACCAGTTGATTTTCTTAAGTGTTCTAGATCACATTGTCTGCAGAAAATGTGTAATATTTTTCTCTTCCTCTTTATTTATAGGCTTTAATTAATGTTAGGCCCTCTATATGAGTCTATCAGTATACTTATGTTTCTAGTCTTTTTTTTTTTTAAGATTTTAAATTTATTCATTTGAGAGAGACAGAGCGAGTAAGAGCACGAGCAGGGGGTAGGGTCAGAGGGAGAGGGAGAAGCAGGCTTCACACTGAGCAGAGCACCCGACACGGGGCCTGATTCCAGGACCCCGGGAACATGACCTGAGCCAAAGGTAGATGCTTAACCGACTGAGCCATCCAGCCCCTTATGTTTCTAGTTTTTTAAAAAATATTTATTTGGGCGGGGAGGGGCAGAGGGAGAGGGAGAGAGAGAGAACCTCAAGCAGACTCCCTGCTGAGTGGGGAATCCAACACAGGGCTCGATCTCACAACCCTGAGATCATGACCTGAGCTGAAATCAAGAGGTGGATGCTTAACCAACTGAGGCACCCATTATGTTTCTTTTTTTTTTTTTTAAGATTTTATTTATTTATCTGAGGCAGAGAGAATGAGAGAGAGAGAAAGCACATGAGAGGGGGGAGGGTCAGAGGGAGAAGCAGACTCCCTGCCGAGCAGGGAGCCCGATGCGGGACTCGATCCAGGGACTCCAGGATCATGACCTGAGCTGAAGGCAGTTGCTTAACCAACTGAGCCACCCAGGCGCCCCCCTTTTTTTTTTTTTAAGATTTTATTTACTTGAAAGAGAAACAGTGAGAGAGAGCATGAGAGGGGAGAAGGTCAGAGGGAGAAGCAGACCCCCCGCTGAGCCAGGAACCCGACGCGGGACTCGATCCCCAGACTCCGTGATCATGACCCGAGCCGAAGGCAGTCACTCAACCAACTGAGCCACCCAGGTGCTCTATGTTTCTAGTTTTAATGGGAAAGTTCTCAATGTTCTACATTAACTATGATGTTTTTATACTTTTCCAGCAAACATTTTAATATTAAATTTTATTCTGCTTCTAGTTGACTGAGAGTACTTATCAGTAATGAATGTTAAACTTCATTAATATTTTTTCATTTATTGAGATAATCATATAATTTTTTCTTTTTTTTTTTAAAGATTTTATTTATTTATTTGAGACAGAGAGAATGAGAGACAGAGAGCATGAGAGGGAGGAGGGTCAGAGGGAGAAGCAGACTCCCTGCCGAGCAGGGAGCCCGATGCGGGACTCGATCCCGGGACTCCAGGATCATGACCTGAGCCGAAGGCAGTCACTTAACCAACTGAGCCACCCAGGCGCCCTAATTTTTTCTTCTTTAATGAAGCAGTCTGCATCTCTTTTAGGTATAGATATTTGATTATCCTTTTTTTTTTTTAAAGATTTATTTATATATTTGAGAGAGAGAGAGAAAGAGTGTTTGTGTGTGTTGTGTGTGTGTGAGAGAGCAGGGGGAGGGGCAGAAGGAGAGGGAGAGAGAGAATCTCAAGCATACTCCTAGCTGAGTATGGAGCCCAGTGTGGGGCTTGATCTCACAACCTTGAGATCATGACCTGAGCTGAAATCAAAGAGTCGGATGCTAAACTGACTGAGCCACCCAACTGCCCTAGCCCTTTATTTCTTCTGCGGTTATTCTTGCTTTCTGATTTTTCTTGATTCAAGTTTGGGAATTTTCATTTTTCCAAGAATATCATCCATTGTCTACTTTTTATTTCGTTAAAAAATTTTTTAAATGAAATAACCAAGAACTGGTAATACTAAGTATGATTTTTCAAAAAAGATTCTTTTATATGGACATACTAAATTTAAATAATAATTGTTAATATTAATAATGTTGTAGTCATTGTCACTTAACATTAAACCAGTATCTGCTTTATCTATGCCTTCTGTTATACTCAGGCTTTCCCTCTTTGATTATGAAATATATATTGCACAGAACTCTTTGAGGTACTGCATTAAATGTGATTCTTAGACACTTAGTTGCAGTATTTCTTTCTAACATACTCTGTCAATAAATTTGGTACCCATCTGTGCAGATATCTCTAGGCTTTGCTTTTTAGCTATCATGTCTGACCCGGTTTGGGTAGATATTTTGCCCAAATGGTAACAACAGTATTTCCCAACCAAAGTGCTCTTCCAAAACCTTGCCACTCCCCCATTAAGAGGTGGAGTTATGTTCCTTCCCCTTGAACTTGGGTGGACCTTGTGATTGCTTCAACTAATAGAGTACAGTGGAAGTAAATGCTATGTGACTTCTAAGGCTAGGTCATAAAAGGCAAGGCAGTTTTCACTTGGCTCTTCTTAGGAGGCTCACTGTTAGAAACAGCCACTATGCTAATGAAAAAGCTAAGGCCACATGAAGAGGTCTAACAGGAAGAACTAAGGACCTTAGTCCTCAGCCCTGGCTGAGCTGCCAGCCAACAGTCTGTACCGACTTGCCAGCAACATATGTGAGCCACCTTGAAAACTGATCTGCTAGCTCTCAGTAGAGCTGTCCCAGCTGATCCCATGTGAAACAGAGACGAACCCTCCCTGCCTGAGTCCTGATCAGATTGAAAATTTGTGAGTACAATCAATGACTATTTTTGTTTTGTTTTTATTTTTTTTAAGATATTATTTATTTAAGAGGAGAGACAGTGAGCATGAGCAGGGGTGGGGGAAGGGCAGAGGGAGAGGCAGAAGCAGACTCCCCACTGAGCAAGGAGCCTGATGCAGGGCTCAAACACAGGACCCTGGGATCATGACCTGAGCCAAAGGGAGCCCCTTAACTGACTGAGCCACCCAGGCGCCCCCACTATTTTTGTTTTAAATCACTGTTTTGTTATGCAGCAATTGATAACTGATATAAAGATAAATCCAAAAAGTAGTTGAGAGTGGGAAGCATACTGCTTCTGAATTTCTGTCCATTCCTTTAAAAGCTTTCTTCTCATGGCTTCCACGAGACCACACTCTCCTGTTTGTTTTCAACTTCACCTTTGTCCCTTTGCTGACTTATCATTCTTTATGACCTGTAAATATTAATGTTCCCAAATGCTTAATCCTGGGCCCTGTCCTTTTATCTGCCCTTTTCTCTAGCTGTATTTTCTCCCTAGGAGATCTCATGCAGACTTGTATCCTGGTGACTCCAAAACCTATGTCTCTGTATCTACAGTATTCCTCTAAATTCCTGTCTGGTATTTTGAACTGGTCACTTCATATCTCCATTTGAATGTTTAGCAGCATTCTCTAACTTAATATGTTCAAACCAGAATCACTTTTTTTTTTTTTTAAGATTTTTAAAATTTATTTATTTGACAGAGAGAGACATAGCGAGAGAGAGAACACAAGCAGGGGGAGAGGGAGAGGGAGAAGCAGGCCTCCCACAGAGCAGGGAGCCCGATGCGGGGCTCAATCCCAGGATTCTGGGATCATGACCTGAGCCGAAGGCAGACGCTTAACGACTGAGCCACCCAGGTGCCCCCAGAATCACTTTTTAAAAAGAGTTACTTATTTTGAGAGAGAGGGAGAGAAAGGGTGTGGGGGGGGGCAAAGAAGAGGGAGAAGGAGAAAGAATCTTGAGCAGACTCCCTGCTGAGCACAGACACCATTGTGGGGCTCCATCTCACAATCCTGAGATCATGACCTGAGCCGGAATCAAGAGTTGGAGGCTTAACCAACTGAGCCACACAGATGCCCCTCAAAGCAGAATTATTAATCCCACATCCCCTGACCTATTTGTCCCCCAGTCTCCATTAGTCTCCACCAATCACCCAGTTGCTGAGGTAAAAAAATTAGGATTTATCTTTGATTGCTTTTTTTTCTCTCACTCCCTGCATTCAAACCATCAGCAGTATTAAGACTGGTGTGTAATCTTCTGCATCTCTCACAGTTCAGATATACAAGCACTTACATAAATATGCATATATATGGCTTTTGGCTTTACTGAAATAGACTCCAAACCCATATTACTCTGGAACTTACTTTTTTCAGTTGACATCCCCATATCAGTAAATACAGATTCAACTGTTTTTTTCCTCCCAATTTCTTAATGGATCTCTAGATATATACAAACATCTGTAGTTTATATATATACACAGGACCACAATATATTTACTGGGGTATGGTGGTAATTTTCCCTTTTCTTTTCTTTTCTTTTTTTAAATGATTTTATTTATTTGAGAGAGCATGCATAAGTGGGGGGGGAGGGGCAGAGGGAGAGGTAAAGGGTGAGAAGCAGACTCCCCAGTGAGTGCTGATCCTGACATGGGGCTCAATCCCAGGACGCTGAGATCATGACCTGAGCCAATGTTAGATAGATCCTTAACCGACTGAGCCACCCAGGCACCCCCCCTTTTTCTTTTTTTCTGTCACTTCTTCCTTCATTTCTCCCCTCTCAAATCAAGATAACTCAACTAAACAGCATATATCCACTCGTATCTTTCCCCATACTCATAAAATCAAACAAATATATGCATGTATATATAAGTTTAGGTGTCTTGCTTTTCCCATTCAACAAACCCCAAATCCTCATGGAAACTCCTCCAGAATATCTAGTATAGTGAAAATTCATTCTTTTAAATGACAGTATAATATTCCTTAGTATAGATATTGTAAAATGTATTCCTCCATTCCCTTATTTATGAGCATTCTCTTTATTTCCCCAAACATAAGTAATGATACCATTAATATCTTTGTACATTTATTCTTTGTACTAGTACTTTTATTTCTATAAACTAGAATTTCAGAAATAGAATTTGCTGGTCAAAGGATACATACAAGTTTTTATTAAATAGTAAATAGATACATTTATTAATCAAGCAGAGGGCAGACAAAATAACAGTAAAACAAGTATCTGTGGACTTACCACCTAGTTTAAGAAAGAGAGCTTTAGTGATTCTCTGAAGCCTCCTTGGTGCTCCCATGATTCCTTTTCCCCCTTTAGAAAAAAAAAAAATCCTGAATTTTTTTTACTTTTCCTTATCATGCTTAATTCCCTGCATAATCTGTTCTTATATATTCTTTTATGTCCTTTTTTTTCCTGGTCATTATATTCCTGAAATTTAACTATTTTGATAGGTGGAGCTGAAAAGTTCATTCATGTTCAATGCTGTTTAATTGTTCATTATATAAATGCACGGTGTTGTATGGACATTTGCCAATGCTGCAATGGACATTTCTGAACATGGCCTTTGGTGTACACATGCAAGTTTCTGTAGTTTGCATATCTAAGATACATGCAATTGTTGGTTGTGGGGTATGCCCATATTCAACTTTATAAGGTAATGCTAAATTGTTTTCCAAAGCCATTACACCAATTAACATTCCCAATAACACTGCATTATGCCTGATTTTCCTGAACCATCTTTTCAAATGTTTCTTAGCTATTAATTTTTCCTCTTTTGTGGTATTTGCCAATTTAAAAAATTGGGTTGCCTTTTTCTGATTTGCATGAATTCTTTGTATATACTAGATCAGTGGTGTCCAAAAGAAATAAAACGCAAGTCACAGAGGTAATTTAAAATGTTCTAGTAGCCACAGTTAAAAAAGTGATAAGAAACAGGAAAAATTAATTTAATTTTATTTTTTAAAGATTTATTTATTTTAGAAAGTGGGGAAGGGGCAGAGGGAGAGAGAGAATGCTGAAGCAGTCTCCTCGCTGAGTGGGGAGCCTGACATGGGGCTCTATCCCAGGACCCTGAAGATCATCACCAGAATTGAAATTAATAGTCTGCCACTTAACTGACTAAGCTATCCAGGCATCCCTGGGCAAAATTAATTTTAATAGTTTTTTTACTTAATAAAAATCTACTTACCAAAATATTATCATTTCAAGATGTTCATACAAAATTTTTTTTGTACTAACTCTTTGAAATCTGGAATCTATTTCATACTTACAGCACATCTTACTTTGGCCTACCTACATTTTAAGTACTCAAGAGCCACAGGTAGTTAGTACCTACTGTACTGGGGTATAGCTCTAGATACTTTTGTTGTAGTTATAGGTGTTGCAGACCTTTCCTTCTAGTTTATGATTTTTCCTTTCACATTCTGTCTTTTGAGGACAAAGTTTCAAGGGAGCTGAATTTTGACTTCTTTGGTTTGTACTTTGAATTTTAAGAACATTTTTTCTATCACATGGGCATGTCCCAAAGATACTGTATTATTCTATATTTTATTCTAAATCTTTTCATGTTTTGCCTTTTATATTGAAGTCTTCAATCCATCTGGAATTGACTTTTGGGTTAAATATGAAATAAGGACCCATTTTTACTTTCTCTCCAGATGGATAACCAATAAGATAACCCAGCTCTAACAGTCTGGCGTTAATGTTGTTTTTGTAAATGGTATGTTTTATTTGCTGGATTATGGAAATGCAGTTGATTTTTTTATCTGAAAAACTTGAAGAATTGTCATTAGTTCTAAGTATTATTCTGTAAATTATTTTGTGTTTTCTAAGTAGACAATCATACCACCTGTAAATAACAACTGTCCTTTTTGTTCCTTACATGTTTTATTTCTTTTTTAAAAAAGATTTTATTATTTATTTGAGAGAGAGAGAGGGAGAGGGAGATAATCTCCAGCAGACTCTGACTCTGCACTGAGTGCAGAGCCCTATGGGGGATTGATCTCATGACCCTGAGGTCATGACCTGAGCAAACCAAGAGTTGGAGGTTTAACCAACTGAGCCACCCAGGAGCCCCTTACATGTTTTATTTCTTTTATTGTTTTATTTTGCTGGCTAGGACTCAAATACAATGTTGAATAGAAATGATGACAGCAAACATTTTGTTTTATTTTTAATTTCAAGAGAAATGCTTTATTTCACAATTATAATGTTCGCTCTAGGTCTTTATCAGGTTAAGGAAGTTTTCTTCTATTCCTGATTTGTTAAAGGTTTTTTGGTTCCTCTTTCTTTTCTTTTTTTATCTTTTTTTAAAATTAAGAATGGGGGCACCTTGGTGGCTCAGTTGGTTAACCATCTGCCTTTGGCTCAGGTCATGATCCCAGGGTCCTGAGATCAAGTCCCGCATCAAGGGTCCTTGCTCAGTGGGCCTGAGAAGCCTGCTTCTCCCTCTGCCTGCCGCACTCCCCCTGCTTGTGCTCTTTCTCTCTCTCAAATAAATAAAATCTTTTAAATAAAATAAAATAAAATTAAGAATGTTTACTGAATTTTAACAAATATTTTTGCCTGCATCTAAAAGTATTTGGATGTACCATCTTTATTAGCTTTCAATTGCGGCTGTAACAAAGTATTACAACCTTAGAAGCTTAAAACAGCACACATTTATTTTTTTTTTACAGTTCTGCGCACCAGAAGTCCAGGATGGGTCTAACTGAACTAAAAACAGTGTTGGCAGGCTACATCCATTCTGGAGGTTCTGGGAGAAAATCTAGTTCCTGCTCATTTGGGTTATTGGCAGAATTCAGTTCCTAGAGGTTGTAGGACCACAGTCCCTGTTTTCTTGCTGCCTGTAAAATGAGCGAGGGTCATTCTCATCTTGCAGAGGCTGCCACATTTCTTGGCTCATGGCCCTTTTCCTCCATTTTCAAAGCCAGCAACAGGCAGGTTGAGTCCTTGTCCTTTTCATCTCTCTGACCAACACTTTTGCCTTCCTCTTCCATTTTTAAGGATTTGTGATTAGATTGGGACCAGATAATCTAAGATAACCTCTCCATCCCAAGGTCTGGAACTCGATCACATCAAAGTCCCTATTGTCACACAAAGAAACATAGTCACAGGTTCCAGGGATTAGGAAGCGGACATCTCTGGGGAGCTATTCTGCCTACCACACCATCATAATTTGTTAATATGTGAATTACTTTAACAAGTTTGCATAACTGAACACTAACTTTCATTCCTGAAATAAATTCAACTTGATCCTGATTTTTATCTTTTTAACAAATTGCTGGATTTGCTTTAATATTTTGTTCACGATTATTCCATCTTTGTTCAAAAATGAGAATAGCTTGTATCTTTTCCTTTCTTGTCCTATCCTTGCCTGTCTCTGTCTGTCCATCTATTCATCCATCCCTTCCTTTCTTTTTGAGAGAAAATTGACTACTGACTCATTTTTTAATGGTTTTAGGACCAGATAGGTTTTCCATTTCTCACTGAGTCAGTTTTACTAGTTTGTTTTTTGTTTTTTAAAGATTTTATTTATTTATTTGACAGAGAGAGACACAGCAAGAGAGAGAACACAAGCAGGGGGAGTGGGAGAGGGAGAAGCAGGCCTCCCGTGACAGGGAGCTTGATGAGGGGCTCGATCCCAGGACCCTGGGATCATGACCTGAGCCGAAGGCAGACGCTTAACGACTGAGTCACCCAGGCACCCCAATGATTTCTTTAAAAAAAAAAAAAATTATTTTATTTTATTTTATTCTTTTATTTGAGAGAAAGAGAACGAGCCAAAAAGCACAAGCTGGGGGAATGGTAGAGGGAGAGGGAGAAGGAGAAGCAGGCTCCCCGCCAAGCAGGGAGCCCAATGTGGGGCTCAATCTCAGGATCCTGGGATCAAACCTGAGCTGAAGGCAGACATTGAACCGAGTGAGACACCCAGGTGCCCCGCCCCCTCAGTTAGTGATTTCTAACTTAATTTCATATTTGTCAGAGGACATGGCTTATGCAACATCAATCATCTGAATTTGTTGAGAATTACTACATGAACTTACATGTATGTGGTCAATTTTCATAAACATTCCACACATGCATACTAGGATATGAGTGCTCTGTTGAGTGCAACAGTTTATATATATATCTATTAATTCAATTTTTTAAATTATGTTGTTCATATCTTCTGATTCTTGTCTATAAGATCTATCCATTATTTTATTTATTTTTATTTATTTATTTTTTTAAAGATTTTATTTATTTATTTGACAGAGAAAGACACAGCGAGAGAGGGAACACAAACGGGGAGTGGGAGAGGGAGAAGCAGACTCCCTGCCGAGCAGGGAACCCGATGCGGGACTCGATCCAGGGACTCCAGGATCATGACCTGAGCCGAAGGCAGTCGCTTAACCAACTGAGCCACCCAGGCGCCCAGATCTATCCATTATTTTGAGGTGTGTTAAAATCTCCACTATACTGGGATATTCATTTTTCTTGTAGTTCTGTCGAATTTTGCTTTTTGTATCTTAAGTACATGTAATATGCAGGCATGTTTAGAATTCTTAAGTCCTGGGGTGTTTGGTGGCTCAGTCGGTTAAGCACCTACCTTCAGCTCAGGTCATGATCCTGGAGTCCTGGGATCGAGCCCCACGTTCAGCTCCCTGATCAGCATGGAGCCTGCTTTTCCCTCTGCCTCCCCCTGCTCCTTCTCTCTCTCGCTCACTCGCTCTCTCAAATAAATAAAATCTTAAAAAAAAAAAAAAGGAATTCTGAAGTCCTCGTGAACTTATTATTATTTAGTAACCTTCATTTATTCTTAGTCTGATGTTACCAGCTTTCTACTGATATATTAGCCTGACATGTTTTTCCATCCTTTTACATTTTTCTATGTTCTTGGTTTTAAGAATGTCTCAAAAATAGCAGATGGTTGGATTTTGTTTCCTTGTCTATTTTACATTCTTTTTTTTTAAAACTGGAGTCTTTATTCAATTTACATTTACTGTAGTTACTGAAATATTTGCATTTATTTTTTACCATGTTATTTGTGATTTCTATTTGTTTCACTATTGCTTTTTTTCTATTTCCATAGGATGCTTTTTTTATAATTTTGTTCTATTTTCTCTATTAACTTAGAAATTAGAACTCTCTTAGTAGTTACTTGAGATACTTTAACTTGAGTACTTAAAAGAATAAAGCTTAATCCATATTTTTACCCTCTTCCCAAACAATACAAGGACTTTGGAAAACTTCAACTCCAATCATCACTCCACCCTTCCCACTTCCAAATTATGATTTTATTCTCCTGGATATTAGTTCTATCTTGACTTACTTTTATTAACCACACAAATTATGTATTATTACTTTGTTCCTTTTTTATTTTTAACCACTTATTTACCAATTTCTTTGCTCATTGTTCCTTCTTTTATCAGGGAGTATTTTCTGTTGGTGGTAAACTCCAGATTTTTTTGGTCTGAAAATGTCTTGAATCAGATAGCCAGATTCAAATCCTGGCTCTACCTTTCCTTAGTCATATGACCCTAGATAAGTACCTTAACCTCTGAGATCTCTGGTTTACTAATTTGTAAAATTGAGTTTCATCCTTTGCTGGGACAGACAAGGCTGGGAAGGAAGATGCAATAAGCAGCTCCTGAGATGAATTCTCTGAAAGGGTGCCAAGATCAAAACACAACAAAACAAACACTATAATCACTTCCCTGAGTGTCTGATACTCTCGTAGGGAAGACAAAATTAACACACATTGAAAAAGAATTAATAATACTCCCGTGTACTTGAGGGTTAAGTGTATGGTTCTTTCAAGTCAGCACTTCCAAGCCCAATGAAATGGTTGGCTCCTAGGAGCTTATGAAGGAGCCTTCACAGAAGACAGTGCTTACCTGGATGTCAATAGCTTATCAGCTGCTCAATAATCTAGTCTGGACAGGAAAATACAATGTGAACACTTTAGAGTTTCTAAAAGAAAAAGAGTAAAAAAAAAAGTAAGGCTTTCAAAAGAGTAGCAAATTAAGTATTCATTAAACACCTGGCATATACAAGGCCAAACACTATAAAATATTAAAGACAATAATGCTTCTGCCTTCAATGAACTTGTAAGAGTTGGGAAGATAGACTTATGTAATGAAAATCAGTTAACAAAGAAGTACGGAAGAGAAAAAGACAACTACAGAGTACAATACTACTATATAGGAAGGTCCTAACTTGATACAAATAATGTATGTGATAGGGTTCAATATAGGTTGCGTATTGCTTTCTAGATTCCTCTTGTATTGAGATCTGCAGATTGAACATGATTAAAAATCAACTGTAAGTATACTTTTTTTCTCTAAGGAATTCCAGAGACAATGAGTGTGATAGATTTGTGCAGAACAGTTAAAATAACCATTATTCTAAATTATGCTACCGTTCTTTTGTACATTGATTAAATCTAAAATAACTTTCAAGTATGCTGAGCCTTAAATTTGTAAGGTAGCTAATTTTTTTAGTGCATGGCTATTAGTTTATATGTACTAGGTACTTTCTCAGACATTATCACATTTCATGTTCCCTAAATGCTAAGATGTTGGTTGTATATATTTCTATCCTACAGAGAAGTAAATACATATTTAAGCCACTTGATCCAAGTTTTTCTTTTTTAAAGATTTTATTTATTTGACAGAGCGAGACACAGCGAGAGCAGGAACACAAACGGGGGAGTGGGAGAGGGAGAGGCAGGCCTCCCGTCAAGCAGGGAGCCCGATGCGGGGCTCGATCCCAGGACCCTGGGATCATGACCTGAGCCGAAGGCAGACGTTTAACGAATGAGCCACCCAGGCGCCCCTTGATCCAAGTTTTTCATTTGTAGAGTAATACACATTGTTCTAAAAACTATCTCATTGTATTTTTAATTAATGGAAACGAATTCATTTCATTTATAACAGAATAATTTTTTGACCTACTAAAACTAAACAGTAAATCAAAATCTGTATATAACAGCTTCTAAATATCCACATCATGTTCCTTTTTTTTTGAGAGCCCGCACATGTGTGAGGGTGGGGAAGGGCAGAGGAGGAGAGAGAAAGAACCTTAAGCGGGCTCCACAACCCATCATGTTTCTATTCTAATGCTAGGATGGACCTGTATGTATTTATGATTTTATGGTTGATATACAATTATAGTAACAGGCAATTTTGGGTTCCCAGAGACCAAACAAAGAAAAATACATTTTTGGAATATGTAATACAGACCATTCCTCTATTCAAAAGTACACTGGGGGAGAAAAGAACAAATAGATGATAAGGGTCATTAACAGCCGGGAATAGATTCAAGATAATATTTAAATAATCAAGATAATGTTTAAATAATCAAGGAAATTGAGTTAGTATCTCACAAATTGTTGCGATTTACATGAGTCTTGTACTGGCAAGCTTGAACTTTCAAACGTTTGATCTTGTATAACCCAGCCTTGTGTCTATTATTCATTTATACTCCCAAACTGCCTGATACTATATTCAACCTTTCATATATCAGCAGATGACCATTAACTCCAATCTATGGCTGCCAGTAATAGACCTGATTCTGCCAAGGTTGAGAGTTTTCGCGGGAGCATGTGGGTAGAGATATAATTTCCCCACTGCCCTGCTCACACTCCCAATGTTGGCCTTGTTGCCACCGCCAACCCTGCCCCCTCTTGGCAAAGCAAAGGACTTTGAGGAGTCCTAGGACTGAAGGCCTAGGGTTTGCTTTTCTCTTCCAAACTGGCATCTCTTGAGGAGCACAACCAGTCCCCTGATAATCCTCATCTGGGGAAAAGACTTGGTTAGGGAAGAGTGGGATGGAAAGAAGCAAGACTAAGTGAATAGCAGTGGCTTCCCCATTCAGCTCTAGCTGTGGGTTCAAGGGGGAATGACCCTTTCTGTCTCTCCTAGAGCTTTAGCCACATTCGCATGTGAGGTAGCAGAGCTCTGGCCTGGGTACATTGAAAAAAAAAAAAGGTACCACCTGGTGACACCTTGGAGTACCTCACTATCTTGATTGTATGGCTTTTGTGTGTGTCGGTTCTAAGAACTATCTTGCCAATATAGTACCTTAAAAATTTTTACAAATAAGGATGCCTGGGTGGCTCAGTTGGTTAAGTGTCTGCCTTCAGCTCAGGTCATGATTCCAGGGTCCTGGGATTGAGTACCACATCCGGCTCCTTGCTCAGCGGGGAGCCTGCTTCTCCCTCTGCCAGCTGCTCCTCCTGCTTGTGCGCTTGCTCTAGCAAATAAATAAATAAAAATCTTAAAATTTTTTTTTTTTTTTCAAATAGTAGTTTGGAGACTGTGCTTAAGAGATCAATTGTCCAACTTTGGGCCAAAAGGCTCGCCTAAGGCAAGAGATGCCTGAGTCAACTTTGTTTCGGGGTCACTAAAGGCTACCCTAGGGTCCCCTGGGATGGGGTGGTCTGGGTCAACAGGAAGCAGTAATGGCAGGAGCAATTATGAAGGTTTTTATGGTTTTCAGCACTCTAGGAATGAATACCTCTTATGTTTCGCCTTAAGACTTTTTGACATTTTTCCTTCAAACACATTTGCAGAAGCTTTATGTAACAAACTAGGAGACAGTCAATATCTAATAATGCTAAAGACAAAATTATTCCAAAGCTTTGATCAAGGGGCCAGGCCCAAGAATATGTTCTGAGGATGCATTCTTTGTTTTTTTTTTTAAGATTTTTTATTTATTTATTTGACAGAGAGAGACACAGCGAGAGAAGGAACACAAGCAGGGGGAGTGGGAGAGGGAGAAGCAGGCTTCCCACCAAGCAGGGAGCCCCCATGCGGGGCTCGATCCCAGGACCCTGGGATCATGACCTGAGCTGAAGGCAGACGCTTAACGAATGAGCCACCCAGGCGCCTCTGCATTCTCTTTGAATTTAAAATACATGCTCAATGGGGCTCCTGGGTGGCTCAGTCGGTTAAGTGGCTGCCTTCGGTTTAGGTCATGATCCTGGAATCCCGAGATCAAGCCCCACATCTGGCTCCCTGCTCATCAGGGAGTCTACTTCTCCCTCTGACCCTCCCCCCTCTTGTTCTCTCTCTCTCTCTCTCACTTTCTCTCTCTCAAATAAATGAATAAAATCTTTAAAAAAAAAAATACATGCACAAAAACCCCTGGTCCAATAACAGATGAGGGCATTTAATAGTATTCGGTATTCTAGTAATCTTGCACGAAAAGTAACCAGGCCCAGTGACACACACTGGAAAGTGGCAGGGCTGGTATATGATGCAAAGTAGAGTTAGCTCTTAACCACTGCCCTAAAATAAAATGTCTGATTAACTGTTGACATTTACTGGAAGTTTAGAGCTTTACAAATATTCTCTCCTTTAATCCTTGCAACAGTGTCAGGACCTATCCACATTAACATTCTCATCTTACAATGAGAAAAAATGCAGAGAAATTATGTAACATTCTGTAAAGAAGTGGTCATGAGAGACTTGAACCTAGGGAATCAGATGGGCCCTACACCTAGATCCTATGCCTAAAGGCAACAGAAAAAAAAAAAAAAGCTAAAATAATCCCCAAGTGAAAAATGGTGATAAAAAGCTAGTAGACACTGCCGGCCTATGCATATGCGCATGCACACACACTTTCAGGATATAAAAAAGAGCCAGTAAAGGGTGTCTGTTCACTTAGATCACATTTCAGTAATTAGGACACAACTGTCTTGATTTAGGCTGCTCAGAATACCATATAGGCTGGGTGGCTATAAACAACCGAAATTTAGTTCTGACAGTTCTGGAGGCTGGAAATCCCAGAGCAGGGTGCAGGCATGGCTGAGATCTGGTGGGAGAACTCTTCTGGGCTGTAGCCTGCCCTTTTCTCCTGCTATCTTCCCTCAGAAGGCAGACAGCGAGCGCAATGGGGGTCTCTTTTATAAGGGCACTAATCCCATTCAGGAGGGCTCCACCCTTATGACTTAATCACCCTAAGGCCCCACCTCCTAAAACCTGAGAGGTTAGGATTTTTAACATATAAACTGGGTGGGTGGGAGGCACACAGTCAGTCCACAACACATACTTCCATGCCATTGTTTGCTGGTAAAATCCTATTTAAAATTATAGTGACCCCCCCCCCCCAAAGCTGGTCGATCCTATGAACTCCCAATTTCAAAATGATCAGTCGTCATAAACTCTTCAACGTCCTGAGCGTTTAGCTAAAGGCTTTATGCATTGTTTCTCCTTCCAAAAATAACTAAAAACGTAGCCCTTTCAAGCTGTCCTATTTACTCTCACCTCGTCATTTTCGCAGGAAAGTGATCGACAGCCTTCGACAAGGACGTCTGCTCCGAGGCCTTAAGAACCCCGCGGAAGACGGGCGCTGTGGCCTTGCAGAGTTGGGGTGGGGGCAGAAGACCCAGAGGGCGGCGGGAAAGAGGAGGGGGCGTCCCGGGAGCTCGGCCTCCGGGCGAATCCCGGGCCTGGCTCCGTTTCCGTACCTGCTGAGGGGTGAGATGAGGAGGCAAAGGGGAGAGAAAGCGAGGAGGAGAAATAAAGAGAAGGGCGAGAGGCTCGGGAGGCGCGGCAACCGCGGTACCTCAGACCTCGGAGGCCCGGGGGAGGCGCCCTCGGCGCCGCCGCCGCGGACTCCTCTGCTCCGGGCGGGCAGGTCTTCCCGGGCGGCGGGGCAGGGAGGGTAGAGTCCCGGCGGGCTCGGGCCGTTCCCCCGACGTCGCCAGCCAACAGCCTGGGACTAGGCCGGGTCACGCCTCAGCCCCCAGCCGCCTTGGTGGGCCCGAGGGAGGGGTCGCGGCGGCGCCGCCACTCGGGGTCCGGTGCTTATTGTTCCGGGAAGCCGCGGGGAGGATCGCGCCGGCCGACCCGCCCCCGCCTGGGGTCGCCCGGCAGCTGCGGGAGCGCCAACTGGCGGCGGACGCGCGGCCCGTGCGTGTCCCTTTAAGGGGCCGGGCCTGTGAGGCGGAGGGGCTGGCGGGGTGCGCGTCGCTCCCCGTGTGAGTGTGTGGGGGAGAGAGCGGCGGGCGGGCGCCGGAGGGAGGGAGGGAACGAGCGAGCAAGCGACGCGGGCCGCCCCTGCCGCCGCCGCCGCGGTCGGACCAGCGGCCTCCTCCCCTCCCCTCCCCTCCCCTCCCGCGCGTCGCCCTGCCGCGGGGAGGGGGCTCGCGTCGCCGCCTCCAGCCGCTCCCGATGAAGCAGCTGCCGCCGCAGCCGCCTCCGAAGATGGGGGATTTCTACGACCCCGAGCACCCGACCCCTGAGTAAGTATCTGCTCCGCCAGAGCCCCGAGGGCGGCGCGTCCTGACGGGCGGCGGCGCGGGCCGGCGCGAGGAGTAACGGGCCCGCGGTGGACTCGCGCGGGCGGCGTGGGGAGCAGGCCCGCGCCGCCGCCGCCGCCGCCGCCTCGCCCGGGCCGCGGCGGGTCGGCGGTTGGGCCCGGCGTTGGCGCGGCTGCTCGCGTCGCAGCGGCGGTTGGGCCGGGCCGGTGGGGGAGGGGCGGCCGCGGACACGGCCTCTGCCGCCGCCGCGTCCGCACCGACCCGGCCGCTCGAGGCTCGGCGGTCTCTTCCGGCTCCCCGCGGTCCGCTCAGGCCGCGCCGCAGGCGAAGGGGCCGAGGCGGAGGAGCTGCCGGTGTCGGGAGTCAGCGAGAGGGCACCGGCGAGGGTAGGCCGCGAATCCCCGGGCTCGGGTGGAAGCCCGGCCCGTCACCCGGCCTGTCGCCCGGCCTCCCGGCGACCGCGGCTCGGACCGGAAGGGCCTAGCGTGCCTCTCCCGGCCCGGGGCCGCGGAGAGTCCGCTCTGCCCTCTCGGGTTTGATTTTTTCATCCTGGAACTCGATCTTGGCCTCGTAGTGCTTCCGGCTTCAGATTCTGCACCTTTGGCACTTCGGTTTTGTAATGGTGGCGAGGTTTGTGTGGCCCCGATGTTGAGGTGACACCGGGTTTGTTTTTCCGCCTGAAAATGAAAACCTTCGGAGGGGCAAACGTTCTCTTCCAGATTGTGGGATTTGCACACTTTCGGACACAACTTCCTTGGTAACAGGACCCTTGTGCCCTAAATGGATGACTTTCTACTTCTCGTAAAGACTTACTTAAAAACCCGGGATCGTTTGAGGATTCTCTAAAGAGACAGCATTCTAGAAAACTGAAATATAGTTTTGCCCGAAAGAATTTTTTCAGCCTTGGACTTTTTTTTTTTTTTTTTTTTTTGATATTTCTGTGGAGGGCTGTATCTGATACCCCCAAGAGCTTCCACTCCAGAGCCTGGATTCACTTCTTTCCCTACGCCCTCACAAGACTATTGTTTTAACATGCTGTCTGAAACTCCATTTGCTGGTGTTGGTTGAAGTACAGATCTACGAATATAGACTCATTTCAAACTTAGCCGTTGGTAGGGATTTCAGATGAAGCTGTCACTTTATGAGCAGAAGGATTCCAAGAGATTTGCTCTTTTGGCACATTTTACCTTAGCTCTGCTATCGCTTTTTTTTTTTTTTGAACCCTTTGCCAAAGCTTTTCAACTTGGTCCAGTAATGTCTGGATCTTCCTTGATAGTTCTTAGATTCGGTTGCAACACAGAAGGATTATGTTGGGATATTGACGGTTGTTTCTGCACACAAAGAGAAATAATTGCACTACCTTTGTAGATAAACCCAACTCTTATTTTTGATAGTAAGTTGTCTCAACATGGCTTTATCCTTTCATGGGTTCTTTGCTTTTAGGTTAACATTACCTTGATTAGATTGTTTTAATTTACTGCACAATCATCAGTCCAGTTACAAAGGTCATGTTGTATTGGCTTTTGGTGTGAGACTTGGAGAACCTCAAACCATTCTGTGTCATGATCCAATAAACACTTATTGAACAGTTGTCCTGTACAAAATAACATGCTAGCCCCCTGATTGGACTAAGTGCCTGCTGACCGTTCTTTTTACCAGGTTGTGTGGTGAAGTCCAGAAGCCTTAAGGATCACATCCTTACACTTCTTGGGGAAAACCTAATTTTTCGTAATGTGGGAAAATGAACTCAGAAGTGCATCTTTAATGGACCTGAGTAGGGAGGAATCAAGAATGTTTATTTTTTGGCACAAGGTCTTGGAGTTATTTGCACTGCTTTTATGTCACCACTGCTTTGCATTTTTAAGTTCCAAGGTGTGTGTGTGCGTGTGCATGTGTGTGTGTGTGTATTAACCTGCATGGAGTATAAAAATAATTATAAAATATTTTCTGTTATACTATAAGAACTGGAAGGGATCTTAGTACATCATCACCTGTTTTTCAGATGCAAAAACTGAAACCTAGAGAAATGAAGGGACAGGAGACCCTCTGAGGTAGTATGTAGAAGCTAGTTAGTCATTATGCCACTGGAGGGGGGAAAGCAGTACTGTAGGGTTAAAGAACTTGGATTTCAGAGTCAGACATCCCTGGGTTTGAACACTAGTTGAACCTTGGACAAGTGTCTTCATCTCTCTAAGCTTGGGTTTTCCCATCTTCAAAATAGGGATTGTGATGGTAGCAACCTCATAGGGCTTTGGGGAGGATTGGATGAGAATAATGTATGAAAAGCCCTTGGCACAGAGTGTGGCGTGTATAAATGCTTCTCGCTGGGGTTCATCAGGGAATACTTAAGAGGTAGGATTTTAAGTCAAGCTTGGAAAGATTAGGTGGGCTTGAGGGGGTAACGTGCCCGGGGGAAGGAATGACCAAGTGCCCCTTTTAAACTTCGGGTAGTTTGAAATGGTTCTTAGACACATGAAGAAATTGAGGCACGAAACATAAATTCAGTTTGATTGAAGTAACTGTTGGAACCTAATGTTCTGTGTTTGTCTTGTACTCACTCTTCAATCAAGTCACAGCTGTGAGACCTGGCTTTTTTCCTGTGGCATATAGGATTGTGTTTCAGGTGAAAATGGCTGTAATCGCCTGAGTATCTGTGCATTAGGTGTCGGCTGTTGGGGCCAGGTGTTGAGGACACTGCAAATTAGATCCAGTTAAAGTCTTTAAGGAACTCTTCTAATGAGAGAGGCAAGTACTTAACAGCCATAGAAGTGCTGTTCTTTGAACATATGCATGTCTATTTTGTGCCAAACATAGGCGCACTAGAGGTGAGTGGTGTACAAAACAAAATTTGCCCTTGTGGGCACCCCTCCTAGTGATGGGTAGTAATGAATAATACAGAATATTCAAAGGTAAGTGCTTTGAAAAATGGAGCAGGGTAAGGGGGAATCCAGAATTTCTGGGAAAGATGTAATATATATTTTTTTAAGATGTGATAATTTAAAATGAGGTAGACTGGGTGTACCTTCTTGAGAATGGTATTTAGGCAAAGACTTAAAAGGGAGGGAGAGCCATGTTAATATCTGGGGTGAAAGCATTCCAAATAGAGGGAATAGTTCCAAGGTGCCAAGGCAGAGGTAGTGAATTCTGCCTGGTATGGCTAAAACGGAATGAACAAAAAAGAGCAATAAATAGTAACTTGGCTCAGGATGGGATGCAGATTTCACAGTGCTTTGTAGAGTCATTATAAGGACTTTGCCCAGAATTTTCAACAGAGGAGTGACATGGTCTGCTTTCAGCATCAGAAGGATCACCCCCTTTGCAGGGGAGAACAGAAGAAGCAGGGAGACTTGTAATGAAGTTAGCAATCTGGAAGAGAGCTGCTGGTGACTTGTAAAGGTGGTAACCAGGAGATGGTGAGAAGTGATTGGATTCTGGATATACATTGAAGAATAAACCAATATGATTCGTTGATAGATCAGATGTGGCATGTGAGAGAGGAGCCAAGGATGATTCCAAGGTTTTTCGTCTGAGTAGTTAGAAAGATGGAGTTGCCATCAACCATGGTAGTAGTTATGACTGTGACAAGAGCAAGTTTGGGAAATAGATTAGGAGTTCAGTTTTAGACATGGTTAAGTTTGAGATGCCTGTTAGACATTTGGGTTGAATTGATAACCAATTCAGTCTCCTGGAGTTCAGGGGAAAGGTCTGGACTAGAGATATATTTTGTGGTCATCAGCTTAGTAGTAGAACCACAACACTGGAAGACATTACCAAGGGAGCCTATGAAGAAAGAGACAAGGACCCGGGAGTGGTCCCTTTAAATTGCAATATTAAGAGGCTTTTATTATAGTGTGCAGTGTAGGGGTCTTAAGATGGATGGCATCCTTAAACTTAGGGGGGAAAATTACCTCTTCACTAACCTCTAACTAGAAGTTAGCATTTCTGGGCACCTGGGTGGTTCAGTCGGTTAAGCGACTGCCTTCGGCTCAGGTCATGATCCTGGAGTCCCAGGATCGAGTCCTGCATCGGGCTCCCTGCTCGGCGGGGAGTCTGCTTCTCCCTCTGACCCTCCTCCCTCTCGTGCTCTCTGTTTCTCATTCTCTCTCTCTCAAATAAATAAATAAAATCTTAAAAAAAAAAAAAGAAGTTAGCATTTCTTTTAATTGCCAGTATAAAGAGCAAACTACAGTACTACCAACAGTGCTTGTGATTTTACTACTAGTACAAGTCATATTTTTTATGATATGCTGTGGTTGTAGGGATCTCAAAATGTTTATCATTACATCAAAACATTGATGTAAGGTAATGTAAACATTACATTATGTACATTATAGCATCTCTACATTATAGTAGAGAAGAGCTCTACCACTACATTAAGAAGCATGTGTATTACTGTGTCACACATTTGGGGTTTTTGTTCTCAACTTAATTGGTCTTATTTGTAATCCTTGCATTTTATTTTATGCATTTAAAAATATTAAGCTGAGAAGAAATCCACAGGCTTCATTAGACTACCAAAATTTTTTTGTCCAAAGCACACAAAAAAAGTTAAACTCTGGGCTTTGGAGCTAGGTTTTAGAATCTCACCTCTTTTTTTACTTAATAGCTTTATGAAACTGAGCAGGTTTCATAATTA